AGTATCACTACGGAAGTAGATTGCCCAACCTTCCTTCCGAGGAGTGGCTGGTGGATTTGAACCGCCAGCCTTCTGGTTAGCAGTCAAGTGCCTTAAGTACTATGCTACCAGAGCTCCTATTTTGAAAGCAGCAAACTTAACTTCAAATATCAAAAAGTCTAATTTATAATATGCTTTTTATAAGAACAACACAGATACGGAACTCATGAACCATTACTCTTTTTCTTTAAAATGTCTTTTCCTAGAGTGCTGCTGAATTTGCATTAATTCAACCTTGGTGTCTCCTCAGTGTCTCTGTAATCCCTGGCATGCATTTTCAACACCTCTGGCAGCTCTGAGAATGTTATCTATGGCAATGGATCCGGTTGGACTGAGTGTTATCTATGGCCATGGGATAAGGCCAAAGGAATCAGCACACAAGGGCATCTGTGGCCACAGAAGGCATTAACTAACACACTTATGGTACATATAAGGGAACTGAACAATCTCAAACACTGTTACTACTTCTACTTTCTAACTTTTTAATTTTCTTTACTCTCACTAGAATCGGAGCTCTGGTGGTCTAGTGCCTAAGGCATCTGACTGCTAACCAGAAGGCTGGAAGTTCAACTCACCAGCCACTCCTTGGAAGGAAAGTTGGGCAATCTACTTCTGTAGTGATACCGCCTAGGAAACCCAAGGAGGGGTCACTATGAGTCGGGTCTGACTCGAGGGCACATAACAACAACAACTCACTAGAATATGATCTCAGGATAAAAAAAAAAGGAAAAATGGTGCGTAACTCTCTACTTTTCTTAATAAAAGACATTTTTGTTCATGGTCTTAAAAAAAGAAACTGTAAGTTTCCATGTTTTGTATATATAAAACCATAATGCTAATGTATCTATCCAGAAACATCATGTATGACAACTTATTAGCACAACGTATTTCTTTCTTTTTTCTTTTTTTTTTAATAAGGCCAACTCTGACTTAGTCTTCATCAATGACATGTGACTTTTACATGTGATGGATAGGTTGTATCTGCAGTATAATGGGAAAACTTGGAGGGAACAGAGCAGCAGAAGGCCTGAAAGTCATTTAGGGATATGTCAAACTAGAGAAACTATGAAAACGCTTAAGGCATTTGGGCTAAACTAGAATAAACATTTTGCATCTCAAAGGTTAAGGAATTCCACAAAAAATAGAAAATGTTTTAATATTTATATTTCAAATTATTTTATATTTATATTAAATAGAAATTTCCATAAAAATACAGTAGCGAGAATGTATGGAGATAATATAAAATTCTGAAATAAAGCACATTTAAGTTTTAAATTATCCAAAACTTTTTTCCTCCTTCCTATTAAATGTAATATGAGTTCTTTCTTTGCCAAACATTTCTCAAATGTACCAAATCACTAAATTTCTGATGCAGCTGGTGCTTAAGGCACTTGACTGCTAACCAGAAGGCTAGTGGTTCAAATCACCAGTCCTCCTCAGAAGGAAGATGGCGCAATCTACTTCCGTAGTGATATTGCCTCAGAAACCCAAGGAGAGTCGCTATGAGTCGGGTCTGACTCAACGGCACATAACAACAACAACAAGGAGAAGTGTTTTCATTCACTATAATAAATCATGACAGCTTCAATATCTTTACATTTAGAATTAATTGAGAAAATGACAAGATGGAATAGTATGATACATCAAAGTGTATTAGCACATATTTTAACTTCAGACCAGAATCCTGCATTTCCTTTTATTCCCAGACTGCTTTGCTAATCTGGCTACCTCTCTTACATCATACTAGTTCTTTTTCCATATATATATATAAAGAGTTACGTATTTAGCACCAGCAATAGGAAAGATGCTTTTCTCAACACATTAGAAGGTGATGAAAGGCCCTGCTATTATACAATAAGTGACCTAGTTACCACTAAAATATTTATAAACTCTTCCATGGATTAAGTTACAAAGCATATTCAGTTACTTGAGGCCCAAATAATCAGTGTGATTTTTTGCATGCACATATCACAGATTGGTTTTTAGATTATGTCAGCCATACTTTGATCCTGCTGTTGGTATTCTCTCCTGAGACTATCTACTTACTGGCCTTTGCTGTTTATTGGACGTTGGATCTCTCACATAAATAGTTCGGTCAGTATTACGTACTGGTTGAGTCTTCAAATCTACTCCATCGTCATTCAGATTGTCTTTCCTTTTTGATTTTATACATCCCATATTTCCTGTTGGAATATAAAAGCAATGACATTTTTTACCATTCTAGAAATGGCCTTAGACAACAAAACCTCTCCATTAAAGAAGAATGAAAAGAATATACTTCTTTTATTTTTTATAATACATGAAATAGCAAACTGAAATGTGGATATTGTTCACAAAATTAATTTGCATGTTCATTCATTAATTCAACAAATATTAATTGAACATCAATTTTAAGTTAGAAAAACATAATTTCTGTTCTAAAGATGCTCATATTCTGTGGGGAAGATATGTGAACTAAAATTAAAATACAAAATTCTGGGAAGATGCAGGCATATCGAAACCATCATTCTGACCTTCCCCCACAAATACAAGAAGGAAATGGTGCTCAGCTTTGAGGGACTCTGAATTGGGGAGCAGAGTAAAGCAGTGGGGAAGTACAGATAGGCAAGAATCAACAAATCAACAATGAGTTGCACACAGTAGGAAAATCGCTTTTCCAATTGTCCCTGACCCTCTCTCCAGCCATATGGACTCCTGGCTGCTGTGAACTAGGGTAGTGACCACAGGAAAAGAGCCTGCTTCCTTAACCACCACAACCTCTACCTGTATAAAGTGACAGGACTCCAAACTTCTGCACTAAAATCAACAAGGTAGACCCTCCCTGAGGGTCATCTGAAGTGTGGCAGCACCTCTCCTACCCAAATACTGCTTGTTGCAAGCCTAGTGCAAACTGCTATAGAAGTTCTGTGCAGTGGAGTCTGCTCTCATAGTAAACACTCTACTAACCACCCTGCACACCCCATAGCTCAAGCCTCTGAAACCAACAGGACAGAACTCCTGAGGAGATAGTTCAGGTCTGTCTGTAGCTCCCCCTTGGTCAGTGCTAAGGGCTGCTGACTGAGGCTGTTGTGTACTAAGAAGCAGACATCTTTAGTAGAGGTTACACCCACAGGGGATGTTCTGATGGCAACAAGGTAGATCTATTCAGAGTGTAACAGCCCTTCTTTTGCTTGGAAACAATCACCTGCAAGCCTGCTGTGAATTGCTACAGAAAGCCCCTGCAGTGGAGTCTACTCCCACAGTCAGCACTCTACATACCTCCGTGCACATCCCATAGCTCTAGCTTCTGAAACAAACAGGATGAACCTCACTGGAGGATCAATTAGGGTCAGTCTTCCCCCACTTCTGATTGTTGCCAAGGACTGTACCCCCTGGTGTGCAGATTCATTAATACACGGTATATCACTTGAGTATCAGGGTCCACTGGTGGACAGACTGACTACACGTTCTCTGGTGTGCTTGGAAGAGACAGAAAGTTGAAAAAGAAGATATGGACAGGAAGGGAGAAGGAGCCATCACAGAGTGGTAGCAGAAACCCTAAGCAAAGGCCAAAGGCTGCCCCCTATCTTAGTTATTTGCCCAACTATCTTAGTAATCTGCCTGACACTCTTAGTTATTTACTGCTGCTATGGCAGAAATACCACAAATGGATGCTTTAACAAACAGAAATTGATTCTCTCAGGTTAGAAGGCTAGTAGTCTGAGCTCAGACCACTGGCTATAGGAGAAGAAGGCTTTCTCTCTCTCTCTAAGCTTTGGAGGAAGGTCTTTGTCCCGATTCAACATCTGTAGGCCCAGTGATTCTTGGGGATCTCCATGTATCTTGGCATTGATCTTCTCCTGTGTCTAGGAGATTCTCAGCAGCACAGGGAGCCCAGGTCCAAAGAACATACTCCACTCCAGGCTCTTATTTCTTGGTGATCACTGCCCTCCCTCTCTGCTCACTTTCCTCTCCTTTTATGTCTTGTAAGATAAAAGGTGATGCAGGCCATACCATAGGGCAAATCCCCTAACATCGGATCAGAGCTGTGACCTAAAGGATGTTTTATCCCACCCTAATCCCCTTATGAGGGTATGTACAAAGTATGAATCTAGGAAAATTGGAAGTTGTCAAAACTGAAATGGAACAATAAAGATTAATATCCTAGGCACTAGAGAGCTGAAATGGACTGGTTTGGGCCATTCTGAATCAGAGAACCATATGATCTACTATACTAGGAATGACAAATTGAAGAGGAATGGTATGGCATTCATTGTCACAAAGAATGTTTCAAGATCTATCCTGAAGTACAATGCTGTCAGTGATAGGATAATATCCATACACCCCCAAGAACGACCAGTTAATACCACAATTATTCAAACTGATACACCAACAACAAAAGCCAATGAGGAAATTAAAGATTTTTAACAACTTGTGCAGTCTGAAATTGACCAAACACACAATCAAGATGTGTTGATTTTTACTGGTGTTGGAATACAAAAGTTGGAAACAAAGAAGAATCCCCAGTAGTTGGAAAATATGGCCTTGCTGATAGAAATGACACTGGAGCTCACATGATAGAATTTTGAAAGACCAATGACTTATTCAACACAAATGGCAGCTATACATGTGGATTTCACCAGATGGAGTAAACAGGAATTAGATCAACTACATCTTTGGCAAGAGGTGATGGAGAAGCTCAGTATCTTCAGCCAAAAGAAGGCCAGGGGATGATTGTGGAACTGCTCATATACTGAAAGAACTGAAGATAAAATTTAAGCCTTGAGTTGTAACATTGAAAGATTCTTTGGGCAAAATGTTGAATGATGCAGGAAACATCAAAAGAAGATGGAAAGGATACACAAAGTCACTGTACCAAAAAGAAGTGGTCAGTGTTCATCCACTTCAGGAGGTGACATATGATCAAGAATGAATGGTACTGAAGGAAGAAGTTGAAGCTACATGGAAGGAATTGGTGAAAAACAAGGCTCCAGGAATTGACGGAATACCCATTGAGATGTTTCAACAAACGGATGCCCCACTGGAGGCACTTACTCAGCTATGCCAAGAGATTTGAAAAGCAGCTACCTGGACAACTGACTGAAAGAGATCCATATTTGTACCCATTCCAAAGAAAGATGATCCCACAGAATGTGGAAATTATTGAACAATTTCATTAATATTATATGCACGTAAAATATTGCTGAAGATAATTCAAAAATGGTTGCAGCAGTATATTGACAGAGAACTTCCAGAAATGCAAGCTAGATTCAGAAGAGGACATGGAACGAGGGATACCATTCTTGATATAAAATGCATCTTGGTTGAAAGCAAAGAATACCAGAAAGAGGTTTACTTGTGTTTTATTGACTATGCTAAAGTATTCAATTGTGTGGATCATAACAAATTATGGATAACATTGAAAAGAATGAGAATTCCAGAACACTCATGAGGAACCTGTACACAGACAGAAGTCTGTCATTCAAACAGAACAAGGGGCTATTGCATGGTTTAAAAATCAGGAAGGGTTGTATCCTTTCACCATACTTATGCAATCTGTATGCTGAGCAAATTATCAGGAAAGCTGACTATATTAAGAAGAATGTGGCATCAGGATTGGAGGAAGACTCATTAACAACCTGCGATATGCAGACAACACGTTGCATGCTGAAAATGAGGACAACTTGAAGCACTTACTGATTAAGATTGAAGATGACAGTCTATAGTATGGATTACATCTTAACATAAAGAAAACAAAAATCCTCACAACTGAACCAATAAGCAACATATGATAAATGAAGAAAAGACTGAAGTTGCCAAAAACTTCGTATTACTTGGTTCTACAATCAACACCAATGGAAGCAGAAGTCAAGACATCAGACTACATATTGCATTGGGCAAATCTGCTACAAAAGACCTCTTTCAAGAGCTGAAGAGCAAAGACATCCCTCGAAGACTAAGATGCGCACAATCCAAGCAATGGTATTTTCAATCGCCTCATATATGCGTGAGAGCTAGACAATGAATAAGGAAGACCGAAGAAGAGTTGATTCTTTTGAGTTGTGGTTCTGGTGAAGAATACTGAAAGTACCATGGATTGCCAAAGGAACTAACAAATCTGTCCTGGAAGAAGTGCAGCCAGAATGCTCCTTGGAAGCAAGAATGGCCAGACTTTGTCTCACCTACTTTGGTCATGTTGTCAGAAGGAACCATTCCCTGGAGAAGGATATCATGCTTTGTAAAGTAGAGGGTCAACTAAAAAGGGGAAGGCCCTCAATAAGATGGATTAACACAGTGGCTGCAACGATGGCCTCAGATATAGCAAGGATCATGAGGCTGGAACAGGACCAGGCAGTGTTTCATTCTGTTGTGTATAGGGTCGCTATGAGTTGGAGATGACTTGATGGCACTTAACGATAACAACAATCCCCTTAGAACTGACGGGTTGATCACATCAGATCACATTATTAGGTATGCTTATATCATTATATAACTGCCAAATTATATAATTACATAATTGACAAACACAGAATCATGGCCCAGTGAAGTTGACACATATTTTGGGGGAAACAATTCAATCCATGACACCAACTAAGAGTTTCTTGTAGAAAGTAGTGCAGGCAAAAATGGCAAATACTGGGGAAAGGTGAGAAAGTTATCATCTCAAAAATTTCAGTGCCCCTACAAAAATAACAAAAAATCACAAGTCATACAAAAAATAGAAAAACAATGACTCATCCAGATGAACATGACTGTGATAGTTGGAGTTGTGTGTTGACTTGGTTGGACCACAATTCTGTGTGGTTTAAGCAATTGTGATGTGGGTTGTTCCAATGATGGGATCAGATGTATATGTTTTGTGCAGCCAATATGTTGAAAGAGAGTTTGCATAGGGCTGTGGGCTGCTTCCAGTATATATATGGACATCCTGGGAAGAGACACTCTTCTGTGCATCAGGATTCTGCTGTGCTGCCTACAACTGTCCGTGAGTAAACAATCCACTATTCAGTCTGGAGATCTTGGATTCGTCATTCGTTAGGGTCAACAGCCAGTATATTGTCTGCCAACCTTGAGCTCCTCAGCCCCTCCAGCTGCATGAGTAAGGAAAAGCCTCCAGCTTGACGTTTGATCCAAGAACTTTGGACTTGCCAGCTTCTATAAGTGTGAGCCATTTTCCTAAGATAAATTTCCCTTTTTCTCTCTA